AACGAAAAATCGACCTGTTTGGCAATGTGCAAACGAATATCTATCAATTGAGTTATTTTTTATTTAATTTACTCATAGTTGGAGGGCTAGTGTGAAGATGCCCCCCGAAATTTGTTTTGTTAATAACTTTTCACTAGAAGTGTGCAAACGAAAATTCGAAATGTGCATACATGTGCAAACGATGAGCAATCGAATGAGCTATAGAAACTTTATGTTTTTCAATTTGGGGGGCTATCTTCACACAGGTCAAAAGCCTATGGTCCATAAAAAAACTTAAGCAGCAAGACGTAAACAATAAGAAAAATTGATCAGTCACTCGATTATTTTACTTACGGTCGAAGAATAATTGTCCATAATCGGTCATTTTTCTTACTGCTCAAGGTTTTTTTTTTTTGGCTCAAAGTACCTCTCATGTTCCAATTGCATGAAATGCAGAGGGCGCGCATTATGGAAATGCAACCGAAATGAATGTGTTGTACGTGAATTCTTTATCAGAGGAAGTTAGTGCATCTTTTTTCTTCTTCTTTTTTTCTTTTTTTAAACATCTCGTTCAAAATAAATATACGTTTGCACGTAGTTGAGAAAACCGAACATGTCTCATCCATCAGCTTTACATATCTATCTCTCTCTCTCACTTCTACGCGCCGATCTATCGCGCGCGTTCGATCGGCGGGCAACCACACACCAACCACACACCAACCTTCTTTCTCCCCCCCCCCCCTTCCTATGGTACAAAGTCTCGATCATCAAAATCTTGCTGATCGTTTCCAAAGAACACGTCATGGTAACGCGAAGTGTGTAGCGACAAGGGCGAAACAGACAAGAGGGGTGACGAACGTCGAAGTGATTTTGTCAATTGTCGTTTTTAGACGGATAATAAACAGCATCAGCGAAACTGGCTGACTAACTTTATTCGACAAGTGCGCCTTTTTTTTACAATCGCTTCGAATACCAAATTCACGATCGCAGCTACCTTCTTATCGAACGGTCTGTTCTACATAGAAGGCTGAAACCTTCGAAATTCCTTGAAATTTTATGCTTCTCGTAGGCAATACATGTTCATTTCCATATACAACTTGCTATAATTTTCTTGCTTTTCACACGATCTACAACGGTTATTATTTTTATTTATCAGATAAAAAAATATACATTTCATGCTCTTATGTCTAACATCTCTTATATGTCTATTACTGAATTCAGTATGCTGAGCTTTAAACATGAGTAATATAATAGATAATATATAAAGACAAACGTTTTGTTTATGCAGGATTTATTTGTGCAGGAATAATAATATAATAATATAGAAACATGGCATTCCGTGAATTAGTGGAAGGAGACTGTGGTGGTCCCAGTTCCCTTGTGCGTCTTGCATCGCACTATGTACAAGATCATGGTTTTAAGGAAGAAGGAATTCATCGATCTTTCAGTTCATCCGAAACTTTTCAAACTCCAAATGCAGATCAATTAGTCCAACAGTTCTTAGAAGAACCAGCCTGCCCACAAACATTTCGAATGGACAATTTATTGGAGGAAATGAGAAAGATCGATCAAAATATTCCTTCAAAAACTGGATCTGAATTTATGAAAGAAATAAAAAAATGATATGGACAAGACTTGGAAAAATTCACTTACATCTTCCAAGCATCTAGAGGTAATTTTATAAAATATTCATACAATTATACTAATATTTAATGTTATATATAATATATAATTTTTGCAAATTATATTTTGATTATAGACTCTTAATGTGTATGATATATGGAATTCATCTGTATTGCCTCAAGAAAAGAATACATATGTCGACGTGATTCATGAACTTGGTTCATTTGATTTCGATCCAAAATGGGCGGAAGATTTTCTAGAATATAAAACAGATGCCACACAGGGAAATAAAAATAATATTGCTCAAACCACAGAAGATGGAAAATTACTCACTCAAGAGGAAAATACATATGTTAATAGGATTCATGAATTTGGTTTAGATCCAAAATGGGCGGAAGATTTTCTAGAATATAATACGGATGCTGCACAGAACAACAAAAATGACAATGTTAAGTTAATGGAAGATAAAGATCCAAAGTTTGCACATTCAAAGTTTATGAAATTTATGGAACGAGAAAGTGATTCAGAAAGCAGTGAAACGACAATTAATCTAAAAGACACAAGTGATGAATGGATAGAACAATATATAGATAGAAAAACAAATAATAATGCAACTAGTCATGTCACTAATGACAACACTATCTTGAACAAAGTAGAAGAGGAATTGGAAGCTGCGGGTACATGGATAGACGAATTTACAAAAGAAAATCCTTCTATAGGTAATATTTTTAATTTCTTTTTCTGAAAATAAGTACATTTATCTTTATATAAATTCAATATATGGTGATAAAATGATTAACATTTTAGAACATGATATGGAGTCATCGTGGAAGCGACTTCAAGATGAATGGAATAAAATCTCTGCAGATAGTCTCTCCTCTTCGCATCCGTGGATATCAGAATTCGACACGTATTACGATCCATTTAATAAAGAATATGATTTCTCTGAAACGAATCCTATGAAAGATTTGCCAAATGCATTGGCCGAAGGCAAGAGACGATTAGAAGCAGGAGATTTACCAAGTGCTGTACTCTGTTTTGAAGCTGCTGTCCAGCAGGATGAAAATAATGTTGAAGCCTGGCTACTCCTTGGCAAAACGCAGGCTGAGAATGAGCAAGATCCTTTGGCAATTTCTGCTTTAAATCATTGTCTCTGCTTGGATCCATCAAATAGTGTTGCTCTCATGGCGTTAGCGGCTTCTTACGCGAATGAATCTTATCAAAAGCAAGCTTGTCTAACGTTAAAGGAATGGCTATTAAAGAATGAGAAATATAAACATCTTGCAGATCCAGAATCCAATCTTAAGAAAGATGAGCATTCAAATTTCGGTGTATCTACTTTATTATACGAGTAAGACAAAAATAATTTTTAATTTAATTAGAAAATTTCTTTACATGTATTTTTTACATATACATTTTATTATAGTAAAGTATATGATGAAGTCAAAGATCTATATATTCAAGCTGCAAGACTGAATCCCCGAGATGAAATTGATGCGGACGTACAATGCGGATTAGGTATATTGTTTAATTTGTCGAGTGATTACAACAAAGCTGTAGATTGTTTCCAAACTGCGCTGCAAGTGCGTCCTGACGTAAGTATAATCAATTTTTAATTGTGATGAATTAAGCGAACATGCTTATTTGAATGTATGTTTTCAAAAGGACTCCAGACTGTGGAACAGATTGGGTGCCACTTTAGCTAATGGCCAACGATCGGCGGAAGCTGTAAATGCGTATCATCGTGCCTTAGAATTATCGCCTGGGTTTATTCGAGCACGTTATAATCTCGGCATATCTTGCGTTAATCTCGGGGCATATAAGTAAATATAGATTTTCTCTATTTGATACTTAAATGGTAAAGTAATAACAATACATCAATGAAATTATTACGATATTATAGAGAAGCAGGAGAACACCTTTTGACAGCTTTGAATCAACAAGCTGCAGGAAGAGGTCCACAAGCTAGTAACGTACCTCCTAAAGCAATGTCAAATACAATATGGTCCACATTAAGATTAGTTATATCGTTAATGCATAAATACGAGTTGATGGAAGCTATAGAAAACAGGTAATATTTTTATCTACACTAAAATAGATTGATCTATAAAAACTTTATAATGATTATTCGTATTTGAAACATCCTTGGTATTTTTCAGAGATTTGCCAAGGCTAAATAAAGAATTCGAAATAATGTAAATGGACATAAATGGACATAAATGTATTCAAGAATTTACACAATGATTCATTTATGTGAATCTTACAGGTATACATTCAGAATTATATAGGTAATAGAATTTTTTTCAATATATTTTGGTATTTAGCGAAATTCTAGAACATTTTAGACAAAAATTTTAGACTAAATACAAAAATGTATATATAGATGACATTTAAAATATTGAATTAAAATGCACTTTTATGTATTCTTTAACTTTTTCCTGTATATGTAAGAAATATAAAATTGATGCAGACAGCTCATTTATCATTAACATTAAATATAATCGTAAATATTAAGTATTTTAGGGAAATTTTTATTAAAAAATAGGGTGTCCCGAAAAGGCTCGTTTTTGCTGTACTTGGAAAAAATAAAATAAATTGCTGTACTTGGAAAAAATAAAATAAAATAAATAAATAAATTATTTCTCTTAAAGTTTTAGAGAGGAGAAATTACTTAAAAACTATAAGAAAAAATTTAAGCGCTTGCATGAACATGTTCAATCGTCCATCGAACGGAAGAATCTATGAGCGCACGAAAATTTTCTATTATATCTGATATTTTCATTATTAAATTATTAAATACAGCATTTTTATATGATATTTTGTACTATCTTAAGACATAAGAACATATTATAATGTTAGTTCATGTAGCGATCTGTTTCACAAATAATTGCGATATCATACATTTTTTCAATTTAAACTCAATTTTTTATATTTGTATTCCCGTTATATGATAATTTTAACTAACATTATCGGATTCATATCGAAAGCTATAAGAAATGTCTTTTACTTTTTTTAAGTGTAACAAAAACTTTTTTCGTGACACCCTTTTTAATTCTTTTATAATTAACATTTGTTTTTATTTTTATTAACATAGATATTTTAAACTTATTGCAAAATGAGTTGAGATGTTATATTTAACACATTTATTTTTATATCGAAAATGTTTTAATTGCTCACATTTGGATCTTTCTATTTTAATATTAAGCTTTTTTGACATAACATTGTTATCTATTATGAATTTTACAAAATATACTAATATTGCTGTAACATAAACATTTTTTATTAATAATTCTAACAGTGATTATTGTTATATCAGGGATAAAATTATAAAAATAAAAAATGAAAGAACAATTAATTAGGTTATTATGTATATTTATTTCTTATGATAAATTATAAATATTATTGATCATTCTAACATAATTAGATTTATAATAAAGAGAAATCATTGCTAAAGGCACATCAAAGTTACATATTTTGTAACACTCAAAAATTGATTACGTAAAACTATTCATTAGGATCAACAAATTTGATAGAAACTATTTTAAAATTCACATTTCTCTAAAGATATATCTTCTGTGCCAGAGCAAAAAGAATTTGTTATTTAACTGTGGAAATTAAACATTTGTGTAATTATTTCTAAATACAGACATATAATTAATAAATATTTTCTCATGTGAGACAGCATGCTTGAAATTTGTAATTTCCTATATATTATTTTGTCATTCTTTAAACTTATCCGTTCAAGTTATATCATTTTTGCTCTGAAACAGATTTTATATTTTTAGTCATAATATAATATAATATATCTATATAGAACGATTCAACAATTACTTATAGACGAATTCTATTTATATAATATCTTCTTTCGAATTCTTTTTTTAATAATTGATGAAAGTTGGTTTATCTATTGTTAAAAATGTGTGCATCGGCACAACTATTAACTAATGAACATTAGCTTATGTGACTGTATTAATCAGGAACATATGTCTGAAACATTTGTAGAAATGGTTATAATCATCGAAGTGCACACAAAGTAGTCTTCCGCAATATCACTATTAAAACATGATATCGGAATTTATATTCGTAATTCCCTTAGTATCATCACTTCCTTGTCTAAAAATTGGCTAATAAATGATATTAATTGGAAACCTATCTTCACAACTTTAGAGTTGTCAAAAGTTGTTGTCCAGTTTCCATTATCAACGATTTTACATGATCCGCATGCATAATTTGATTGCACATTTCGGTGCATCTTTGAAATGTTGCCATGTCATCTCTCGGCAAGATACGATGTAAACTTTTCATGGGCAATGCATGCGGAAGATGATTCAGAATCTCTGAAAATTCAAAGTTTCATTTTACTGATATATCGCTTCATTTTGTTCATATTGTTTACATATGTTCAATTTACCTTTCATAATTTGTGTGTACAAGACTTGTAATTCCTGTTGCGTTGTAGAAGCAATTTTGTCACGTGTTAATTCAATAAGATATTTCCATTCAGTATCCTTTGTATATTTATCCTGAAATAAAATAAATAGTAAAATGTCTCCTGGAAAAAGATGTATTTAAATAAGTGTTATATGTTAAAAATACCTTTGCATACTGTACTATAGCTTGCGGGCAATTGTCCATTAACATTATCGTTATCTCCTCCGTGTTTTGAATGCATAACGTCTTAAGAGATAAACTTCCATCAATGTTTTGCGTTTCGAGAAACTGCTTGACTTCGTGCAAACATTCAACCGGCAAAAACTCGCACGACAATACAGATTGCAACTTAAATAATTCCTTAGGTACAGTTTTCTCAGTCTCAGATGCATTATTAGAGTTCGCTAAATCTTTAAAATCGTTCATCCTTAAAATTTTTTGGTAATCTTTGGTATACGGTGGCATTTTGTTTAAATAACTCGGCCGATATTTGGCGAACATGAAATACTCCTTATCGTTCTCCTCGTGATCTTCTTTCGGATCAGTTTTATATACTTTTGTTTGAGTTAATTTACCTAAATATGATCGTACTAACAGTTTGAACGCTTCAACGAGAGCAAAATCCGAGCGTATCTGATTTTTATTTATAGTCGACGGCCACTCCATCATGAATTTCGAACTGAAATAATTATGTAGATATTTCTCAATAAAAATTTGCAATGTGGCGGCCGCGTTATGTCCGTCTCTTCCGACTCGCGAAGGCAGGTATTCCAGGAACACCTGTATGATTTGGTGCAATGACAATGCACCTTCGTCTTCTATTAATTGTATCAAGATATCGGCAAAAGTGGTGTTCTTTACGAGCATCAATGTACCAGCAAAATCCGAGAAAGTAGCGATCATAGGACTCCTCTTTTTCATCGCGGTTACGTCGAATAGTAGTTCCCAACGCTCCAAAATAATTTGTCTGATACATTGCACGGAAACTGGTTCCAACGCTTTCTCCGCCTGTTCTTGTTTGTCGGCTTGGATGTACAAGAGCACCAAGGCGAGTTTGACGACATCGTCGGTTTCGTACATCAGTAAAAGATTTATCAGTTTCTCGGTAGTATATTCTCTCAGCACAGGACTGCCGAAAATTATTTTCAACAGATCTTCTTTCTCCAATTTGCAGATGATATCTATGATATTATATCCTTGGAAAAGCGCGTCCGCTTCAGATCCGCTTCTCATCGTAAGAAGCGCATCCGTGAGAAACGTCAGGAGTCCCGGTGCATCTTGAGTACATTTTCTGGATAATACTTCTGAAGGTTTTAACCCAGACATCTTGTAGTAGGGAATACACAAATCCCAATCCGATTCAATTTCCGATCGTATGTAGTAATCCGCAAGTAACGCACAAGATTGATTGTAAAGATTTTTTAATTTAAGATCGTTCTTATGGATTACATCGTCGAGTTCCTCATTATCCACGCCGTCATAGGATATGTCCTTCGCTAAGCGTATTAAGGCATGCGCTTCTCCCAACAAATGTCGATAAGTACTCGGACTGGAGGATTTGTGACTTCTCGCTGCATTCAAGATGTCAAAATACACGTTCTCGAATTTAGGTAAATTTAGAGAGTACATGGTCCAAGAACTATCAGCCTTAGCTAGCAGAACTATATAGCTTCTCGTATGTAACAACTTCTGTATTCCTAGGAACGGTCTCAAGCCAATCAGGCTTACCGGTTCGACACTGGGACAAGTTGCTCTAACGCTGTCCATGCTATTTGATAGTTTTGCGATATGATGAGAAAGACGTAATGTGTAAGACTCGAGACCGGCCTCGGTCAATACATGAAGTATCGTGTGCTCCAGCGCTATATGATGAACAGGTGCAGTGAATGGATAAGTCGTCAGGCAAGTCGCATCCAGAGAACCATTACTTGTTGTTGAAAAGTGATACAGATATCCTTCCTGTGTAGTGCAAATGAAGCAACTTACACCTTGCAAATATTTGTATTTGTCAGACCGCAATATAGATTTTTTCACGCCACTAATGTTACATTCCTTCTTCATATACAATGGCTTCAATACCAGGCACCTAAAGATCTCTAGAATTCCGTCTACCTTAGCATTATTTCCAGCGTTGATCTTTAGACATAATAGATTTTTTATTATATAATTTTCAGACCAGCCTACATCAGGTGAGGTTGTTTTGATGAAAATTCTTATATCCGCTGAATTTAGTACAAAGGGACTGAGAGCGTGACCTGGAACAGCTCTTTCTAAACTTATCAATGGTAGATTTACTGTTAATGGCTGTGAAGAAGAATCAATAATTCCTTGGGTAATTAGCCTTTGCATCTCATCTTTCTCGTTGCATATTAGGTACTCCCAATCTATATAATTCTTATTGTTACTTGGCTTTGTTCTATTGAAATTGCCTTCTGACTTATACCATGTACTTCCTTTTGTGCTTTTGTGTTTTTTATCTTTAGATTTTACATTGGTTATCATCTCATTGTTATCAGATGTCGCATATTGACTATCAAGATAATCTACAGATTTGTGCTTTGCGTTTGTTCCCTGCAGTGACGTATCATCATTTCCAAGACTACTGCTATTCTCTACGAGAGAGGAATCTGTGGATATGGATGTCTTATCGACGGAAGAAGAATTCGTGGAAGTTAAAGAGCTAAGTTGGTCGATATCCTCATACATCGAATTTGTGAGGCGAAAAATGGATAAATTTGTATTATCCATGATTGCTATAAAATCTTCTATGATTTCCATGCGTGTAGGTGCGAATGTGAATCCTAAGGACCACGGTCTAGGTTCAAAGTCTATGAATTTCATCTTTGATACTTGTTGCGTTTCAATCTTAAATTCATGCAGAATGGCACTGTTTCCCGAGGCTACCAATAAGTTTCCAGTACATTGACAGCAAGCGATCAAGGTAGGTTGCATGGTCAAAGGTAACTCTATCATTTCCAAGCTATTCAAAGGTCGATTCAAACTCGGCGTAACCCGTCCGGCAATCCTGGCTCGCATTGGCTGGCTCTGATCTTTCGCTATGGCCCAATTTACATAAATCCTTACAAAATTAGAAGAAGCTCTATTTGCATGATTATTGCTCGCAGTATCTCTGAGATATTTTGATTCCAATGTCACAACATAATCTCCCTTGATGCAGTGTACCATTTGATTAATCATGTCTACCGTAGGGAAAACAGTGCGCAGTTTGACATCCGAACTCATCAGCTCCCATACCTCCACGCAATGTGTGGGCAGCGCCAGCAGGAGCATTTCCTGTCTCTGACTGCTGGCCGTACATGTCGCCGTAGGTTCTTCAATCTGAACGACATTCTGCCCCAGGAAATTGTGCACTGTTATCACACGTACCATCTCTATGCTTTGTTCCTCTTATTGTCTACCTAAATATCAAAAATATATTTTCAGATAAATTATGGATTACACGATGCATATTGAAAATAACAGAATGCCAAGAGTACATCAAATTCGACCTTTTTTACATACCTAATTTGTCTAGGATTTAATAATTCCAAGGATTGCGATGTTGCATACGACGTAACACATGCATTATAACTATATTTCTGCCTTCGTTGGATCTTCTGCTTTCGCTTCGTTGACAATAATTATAGCGACATATAAGCGTCGCTGTAACTGAGCATTCGAATCGATGTTTGTGGATGTACATACGTCAACGGGGCACAATTCAGCGCACGGAATCGCGATTAGAGGAGCGACGGTCCGCCGGATACTTTTTTACGGAGCAACGAACCGGCAAAGTCGCAAACGCGTTCACTGGCATTCCGTCAATTGTGCGTCAATACTGCGGAGAATGCGATGCGAGATGACGCACCGCACGGAAAAGAGATGAGGGACCAGGCGTGGTGAATCGCATCAATGAACGCGGTCGCGCGCGCGACGTTACGCTCGAGATGTGTCTCGTCCGGTGACAGCGATTATCCCGTACGGAGGGAGAAAGAAAGAGATAGAGAAAGATCAGAGATGCTTGGTTTGTTTGACATTGCCCGGCGAGTCGCGCTTGCGTGTGACAACCAGCCTGAGATACGTTCTAAAAAACCCAACTTGGTTATTGAAAATTTATAATATGAGTCACATAAATTATAGAGTTTAGTAACCTGAGGTTGATTTTGGAACGTACATGTGACAGAGCGCGATTCATCCAGATTAGAAATCCATTTCTATAGCTGTATATGCGTTAGATCCTGCGCACAATGGAGAAAATATTAGGAACAGGAATAAGTATTGGATTTTGGAAATGAAAATTGGAATAAAAACTAAACATAACGCACAATAGATACGAGTAAATATAAAATATGGTTATATTTTATATTTACTTGTATCCATTGTGCATTATGTTTAATATTTATTTCTATTCCTAATATTTCCTCCATTGTGCGCAGGACTTTATGCTTCTGTTCTGTATTTAAAATGAGATAAATATACGTTCAGATATTAGAAAGAAGAAAAAGAAGAATGTATTCGATTACAAGGAACAAAGTTCAGATTAAGTTAGATCGAATCATCCCACCGATGGATACGCATCATGCGTACTGCAAAGTAGTTTTTGCAGAAGGTGAATGCACTTTCGAATGAACGCCCAATATATGACAACATATAGAAGCTGAAAATTTGGCCATTTGATTGAAATCAAATGAAATCAAATGAAACATAAATGTTATCCTTAAATTTAAGCTGAACCATAGAATTCAATTTTTTCAGCAAGAGACACAAAAATTGATCTTACTATCTCTGATTAATTTTATCAGCCAATTAAATTTAAGAATAGAATAATCAACTATAAAATTTAAAATTGATCCTTTTTAATCTAATCTCTTATTTTAAATAAAAGTATTATATTCAAATAATATATATTTAGTATGTATGTATGTATACAAATAAAAAATACACTTAAGAGATGTACATATAATAGTTATATTACATACATTTATAAATAAATAAATTTATTGCAATGAACGTTTTTGTGTTTAAGACAAAAAAACTTATTTTATATATATATATATATATATATATATATTTTATAATATATGTATATTAATATATATATTATATATATATTTTTTTACTTACAAATGCAATAAAATATACAACAAAAAGTATAACATTACATATCAATAAATGTGTTATGAAAAAAAAGAAAAAGAATGAATTAGGAAAGGAGAGGAAGGGAAAAGAATCTCACAAGGTCTTGAGAAGATCAATCGCAAAAAAGATGTGCTACGCCAATGTTACATGTTTCCTACAGTCATATGATAAGATATATGTTTAACGAGCGTTTTTACTTTATGTAAATTGTACAGGTAATTTTGCATATTATTCGTATTTTTAAAATGTTTTAAACACAAAATATTTCATGATGGGTCTTTATAATATAAATTTCTAAGTGATATTATCCACATTTGAATAATTATATATATTTCGTGTGTAACCAGTATCTTGACGTTTTTGTCGTAGAATATCGTACGTGAATGTTTCACATAATCTAGAGAAAGAGAGAGGAGTGGAAACAGAGAGGAAGAGCTTATGATAAATATACCAGGTTTGTCGAGTTGGCAGTTAGTTCCAGCTATCTTTTGTGTATAAACAGGTTTAATATTAACGACCATGGCATTACCACCGCCATTGAAAACCTTGTTCAAGTACGTTTTACTTTATTCCTTAAAATGTTTTGCATTTTGAAGAAATTAATGCATTTATAGGAAGATTTTTGCGCAGAAACAAAATTTACATAAGTATATTTTATCTATAATTTTCATTTACCGTGATCTTCGTTTTTATAGATATATAGATGAACATAAACAGGAGTACGTAGATAACTTGAAAGAAGCGGTAGCTATTAAGTCTGTATCAGCATGGCCAGATTATAGAGATGAAATAATTAAAATGATGAAATGGGCAGAAGTAAGGCTAAAGAATCTTGGTGCAACTACAGAATTAGCTGATGTAGGCAAACAGGTTCTTCCTGATGGTAATGAAATTCCATTACCTCCCGTGCTACTTGGAAGTCTTGGTTCAGACCCAAAAAAGAAAACTGTGCTTCTCTATGGACATTTGGATGTGCAACCTGCGTTAAAGGAAGATGGATGGGATACCGAGCCTTTTATTCTTACTGAAAAAGATGGAAAACTTTTTGGTCGAGGTAGTACAGATGATAAAGGACCAGTTCTTTGTTGGATACATGCATTGCAAGCTTACAAAGCAACTAGCATCGATATCCCTGTTAATATCAAGGTATTAACATAATAACATAATAACATAATAAAAGACACTTGAAATTTGATTAACGTTCATTTTATAATACATTTTATTAACTGTCTTTGTGCAGTTTGTTTTCGAAGGAATGGAAGAAAGTGGAAGCGAAGGTCTAGATGAGCTTCTTTGGGCAAGGAAAGACAGCTTTCTAAAGAACATAGATTACATTTGCATATCTGATAACTATTGGCTGGGTACTAAGAAACCATGTATTACTTATGGTCTGCGAGGTATCTGCTATTTCTTCATAGAAGTCACTTGCGCTACTAAGGATTTGCACAGTGGTACTTTTGGTGGATGCGTACACGAAGCTATGGCAGATTTGATTTATTTAATGAATACACTGGTTGATGTTAATGGCCACATTTTGATAGATGGTATTTATGATAATGTGGCAGAATTGACAGAAGCTGAAATAGCTAGTTATAAAGACATAGATTTTGATGTGGATGAATTTAGAGAAACAGTTGGAACTAGGAAACTAGCGCATAAGGAAGACAAAGTACGTGCGCATTACTTTTTCTTAAGAGCTCTAAAACATTAACATCTTATGATCATGATTTTAATGTCAATTCTTGTAGATAAAACTCTTAATGCATCGTTGGAGACAACCCAGTTTGTCACTTCATGGAATACAAGGTGCTTTTAGTGAGTCAGGAGCGAAAACTGTAATTCCGAGTAAAGTTATTGGCAAATTTTCGATTAGAATAGTGCCTCACATGACCCCAGATAAGACGACTGAAAAGGTGATCGCGTATATAAATAAGAAATGGCAAGAAAGAGGTAGCCCAAATATTATGAACGTGAGTATGTGTCATGGTGGCAAAACCTGGTCTGAAAATCCGGACCATCCGAATTACATAGCTGGTCGAAAAGCTACTAAACATGTTTATAATGTGGAGCCTGATCTCTCTCGTGAGGGCGGGTCAATACCAGTTACTCTGACATTCCAAGAAGTTACTGGTAAAAATGTGTTGCTCTTACCAGTCGGTCAGGGTGATGATGGTGCGCATTCTCAAAATGAAAAACTGAATGTATACAATTACATCCAAGGGGTAAGCATAAATAGCATTGAAATTAGCAACCGTTTATAAATTAAATGTTTTCGTTATAATGGTGTAATAATTTATTTATTCATATATCTTTTTGCAGACAAAACTACTCGGAGCTTATTTATACGAGGTGGCACATGTGTAATATTTCATTGTTGGCATTTACTTATTTGGGACTCAAGGTGTTTGGTATTATCTATTAAGGTGCTTTTAATGTTATTTGATTTACAAAAAATCATTTTTGAATATTTTATATTTATCTTTTTAAAGAAAAACATTTTCTGAAATTTATATTTCTAAAGATAATATACAATATAAAATATATTCTCAATAAGATGTGTGTACACTTTGAAAAATCTCAATCTTCAATACCCAAGCTGGCTGTCCTTTATGTGCATTAGGAGGTAGATTTATCTCTAGCTTATCATTAGATTGTTTCCACTAAAACGTATACATCAAATTATGTTAATACAATTCTCATGCAGATAAAAGAAGAAGCATACTTACAGGAATTACTGACGAGTAACCAAGTAGATATATCTGAGAATTCGTTGAAAGTTTAAGTGAGCCCAATGATAAGATATTATTGTCTGGCCATTCTAGAATCGAAGCAAATAGCTGTTTTTCATTTTTACTTATCGTGTACCAAACACTTCCGGTTAAAGTATCATTTTGTACTGTCCAAGGTTTAGTATCGTAAATAGCTTCGCCATTAACTGCTAGCCAAGCACCTAAAATAATAAGTTAGCTCATATATTATTAAGATGAGAAAATCGATATCTGAATCAATCTAGCTTCAATAAATATGATAAGATACAAAAGATATTTACCTATTCCACGTAATCTTTCTTCATATATTGGTGTAATGATGCCATCTTTCGTTGGTCCGACGTTCATCAGCAAATTTCCACCACAGCTTACAGTAATTACCAATTCTTTTACTAATCCTGCTAATGTATAGTACTCTGATAAAGCAGCATTTCTACGGAATCCCCAAGATTTTTTATCAATAGTCATACAGTTTTCCCATTTATGTGGGAGAAGCACACCTAAAAAACAAAATTTTATTAAAATATTTATGAATCTATTTTTATGTAAAATGCTAATAATATTTAATAGTGTTTAATAATGTTATTCTACACATTAATTTATATTAGTATATTATAATTGTATATTGTTTACCAGGATTAAAACGATCAGAACATGTAAAGAAACCACCATGATGGCATGGCATATTACTACCCCATCTATCATTTACCACGACTGTGTCCTTCACAGGACTTTCATTGTATAACCATGCTAAAAATTCCTTTGATTTCCAATAAGTATCCGAGGCTTCCCAATCTCCATCTGACCAAATTATTTCTGGCTTATATGTTTCTACTAATTCACGTAACTCTGGCATTATTTTGTGAGTTATAAATCTATCTGTTGTAAAGTTGTTTTTTTTATCTGTTATATAGAGAGGATTGTACCATTCATACAGGGAATGATATAAGCCAAATCTAATATCTGTCTTGTTTCGAATAGCTTCTGCCAATTCACCTAATTCATAAAAAAAAAAAATGTGTACATACACATATATATATATATATATATATATATATATATATATATATATATATATATATATATAT